AAGATTGGAACTTGGAATTTTTTTTTTAATTGCAAGATTGGAACTTGATCAGTTCATTGAAGTTTTGTTTGAAGTTTAATTTTTTTTTATCAAACACGAAACTTGAATACTATTAAAAAGTTCTAAACTTTCAGAGAGACACTTCCAGTTATCAAACACGCCCGTAAATACCCATTTCTCTCCCTCTATATCCATGCCTTTTAGAGCTCATAAATTTCTCACTTGTAAATTATAGAGAAGCTTGCGCCCAGGCAATGCATAATAAAAAATCATTCACTTTTCGTTCAATTAGAAATAAAATTTATTTGGGTTCTTGATTTGATTGTCTATCAAATAAGTGGTCCTAAGTCAATCTTGAGCAGGAATTGATCAGGAGGTTATTCTCTTTTTTTTTCTTGGCTCAAAAACATTTTGTCTAAATTGATCCTAGAGAAGAATAGTGATTATTTAATGGTTTTGGGGTCAAACAAATCCCCCAACATAGTGTTTTGGCAGTGAGACCAAACATACAGTCCCATAATAGGACCATCGATATTTCCTTCCAACACAGAATCTACTCATAGTAAATTTTATTTGTAAAGGAATTTCAAGTCAAAAAATTTGAAGTAGGTCAATGGAGTTAAAACAATATTTATATGGAAGATTGTTTCATGCGGGATGGACCGTATGACTATATATACGGTCCACAAAGTGTAAAGCATCCATCTTAAAAGATAGATGCAAGTAGGTGTTCCATTTAAAAACAATGGAAACTAATGGTTCAAATATTTTCTTATTAAAATTATTATTTCTAGTTTTAAAAATTTATTTATTTTCAATATTTATGATCTCTTACATGTCCTAAAAATTTACTTCAAAAAATCCATCTTAAAAATAGATTTATTAATAGGCCCATATTTCTACATATGCGGGCTTGGCCACATAAAAACCGGGCCCTATTTATATATAGCATGTTCTAAATCACTCTTTCCGGTGCTTTAAAGTGTGGTAATTTTCGATCTATCACCTATCCAGATGGAAATTGTGTGGAAGTCGGGACCAAACCTGTTCATGGTCTAAGTTCCAGCCTGGTGCCCCCCTAAAACTCACCCTCTTACAACTCCACTGCTTTTTAAGATTGTGTACTTTTTTCTTAGGTCCCTTTTAAGGGTGCAGTATGTATACTGATGCATATGTAGGTGTAGAGGTAAGGTTCACCTTCAAATTTTATCATGGTATATAATTTTAATGTAAAATATTATTATTTCAAAATCTATTTTTATATTTAATTATAAAAGTTTAAATTTTAAAAATGGTTAAAATCAAGTAGATCTATAAACATATGAAAATCTTCAAAATGGACGGTGTGTAGATAATATGTTGTAAATGCACTATTTTCGAGACTTAAAATCTTTTTGTTTTTCATAGTCATACATCTCGATGTCGAGATGATCAATCCAAGGGTTTTTCAACATTAAAACTACCTTTACCGATGGATTTTTGAGGGGTATATGTAGTTCTACATTATAAGGTAGCATCCTTATATAAACTTTTTCCCCCTTTTAATCCCCATCTTATATGCCCGTAATTTTATTTGTACTTTATTTTGTATATCTTTAATATTTTTTTGATCATTGATCCATACTTGAACCTGATCACCAATCCAACAATCTGATATATTTATGAGTGAATGATTCATCCCACCAATCGGAGTTTCAAAACACTGTCTTTTGACTCTTTTCTGGTGGATGTAAAATTGATTACTCTCAAAGTTCAAAAGAGACTAGTCAAACTTTGTGACACACCCAAATTGTCCAAATTCAAATTTGATTGCTAGAAGAGATTGTGACCCCTCATGCTCAAGGTACATAAAAGTTTGAATCCCAAGTGCATACTCTATGGGAGCAAAATGTACACCTGCTCTCCCAGAAAAAAAAAACACCCCATTAGAACGTATTTTTGCATACAAAAGTGTGGCCTTTACTTCATAAGTCAGGAATAATTTTAAGAAATATTATGATTAGATATTAAAATTTTAAACGTTTAGATCTAACCATCAAAGAATAGACTCAAGGCTAAGTAGTCATAATAGCGGGATGCCACAATATGACGTTTCGAATTTTATTCTTATTATAAGTAGGGGCTTAAATCCCTAGTGAACTGCCCAAAAAAAACAATCTAACCATCCAAATTTTGGAGTGTCTATGCAATGGTAGGAAGCTTTTTTTTTTTTGAACAAAATTGGTAGGAAACTTTTTTTTTAAGGTGGTCTCTAATGGATTACCTCTCCAAATTTGAATATTTAAAATCCCTCCTAGGTTTCACCAGAGGGTACAAATATGCATTTCGCTCAAGCCGGAGCTAAAAATGTTTTCACTTCAGCCTGGTTTAAAATGCATCTTGTTTCCATCAAAACCTTGTGATGAGAACCTACCAAAATACCCTCCTCCATAAGTAATGTCAATATTGGACACGGCATGCGTCCCCTCATGCATCATGTGTCCATTTTAGAGATGGATGTAAAAAATGGTCGTTTCCACTATACCTGAAAGTGCATGGTGGAAAACTATAATCGAAAAAAATATAATTTTTTGTATTTCAAAAAATTCCATATTCAGTGGGGATTAACGAATCCCAAAAAATTCCATATTGAGTGGGGAACACAATAGTTGAGATTAACAAATCCCAAAATTTAAATTCAAAATCCATAAAGATTTTTCCTTCAAAATCAAGTGAGTCAGCTGACTCACCAAACACTTTTCCGGCAATATTTGTTGGAAAATGGTTTCATGCGGGTTGGACTGCATTTTACATATGCGGTCGTAAAGCATCTATCTTAAAGATGGATGCAAGTTGGTATTCTATTTATAAGTAATGGAAACTAACAGTCCAAATATTTTTTTATTAGAATTATTATTTTTAGTTTTAAAAATTTATTTGTTTTTTCATATTCATGATCTCCATGTTAAATATTACATGTCCTTAAAATTTAAGTTTTAATCCATCTCAAAAATAAATTTACTAAAAGATCCTCATTTCTATGTATGCGGGCTTGGCCGCATAGAAATGGGGTCCATATTTGTTTGAACATAGGAGAAACTTAACCAAAAAAAAATTTGATGGAAATTTCCAAGCACATGAACTCCTGCAACTAGGACTTAAATATCCTCATTGGCTAGAAACATAGGACAAAGTTTATTCCTCTCTCCATGTGACCACCACATAAAAGTAATGGATACTTGACCTATCCTCCTTTACAGCGTAATAAAAGACCATGTGAAAACAAATCATATTCTATGGATATCAAAACAGCTCGACGATTTGTGCCAGTGTGAAATTATTTTTCATCTTTTTTACTAGGTAGCATTGGTTATTCACATTTATTAATTTGTTTTTGCATTAAAAAAAACAAATTACATATATATTTGTTATAGTTTCCGTTATTACGGCTCTATCGAATAGTTTCCGTTATTATCACCGTGTCCATTTTTTCATGTCAAAACGGATTTTTTTTTTTAAAAAAATGACTTTACCCTTTTTCGGTGGTTGAACAACTGAATTCAAAGTATTTTCGGTTATTTTGAAGTAGGTTGTTCAACAACCGAAATTGAAACAACCGAAAACCGGGCCAACTTTTCTTTTTGAAGAACCGAAAATTTAAAATTTTAGGTTCTTCAATAACCGATTTTTTTCTCTCCCTTGTGGGGGTGCGTATCCTCTCTTTACCTCTCTCTCAACATTACATGGGTAAATGGTTTTTTTTAAAAAACTCTCTCTCTCGTTCACGGAGCGTTTTTTTTGGGTAAGTTCATAATTTGTGAGATTTCTTCTAAATTTAGGGGCTCAAATTAGTTGTTCCCTTTGATTTTATTGGATAACTATGACTTCAGAAAGGTAGAGAAAATACGCCAAAAGAAAGAGAAAACATCTTTCGGTTCTTGAAGAACCAAAAATAATTTTTCATTCTTCAACAACAAAAAAATTTAAATTTTCAGCTCGTCAAGAACCAAAATTGGTGTATTTTCGGTTGTTGAACAACCGAAAATACTTTGAATCCGGTTGTTCAACAACCAAAAAGAGGGTAAGGTCGGCTTTTTTAAAAATTCCCGTTTTAAAATGAAAAAAACGGATACGGTGGTAATAATAGAAACTATTCTGTAGAGCTGTAATAACGGAAACTATAACAGATATGTATGTAATTTTTCCTAAAAAAAATCATAAGGGATTGTTTATAAATAGATCATTTATCTTTTGTACATGGAGATCCCAATCATTTCCACTTATTAGATGTCAAACTGGATGGCTTAGGTTGAATCACAAAATCTAAGAATTTACTTTTTGAACTTTATGCCCATTCATGATACTCTTATAAGCACCCATTTTGAAATTCAAGGGACTAGAAAGGTTGTGAATTTAATGTACAAAAGATACATGGTCTTTGTAGACAACCCCAAATCATAAACCAATAACTCATCAAATGCTTTAAAAGTCTCTTGGTCTAGGTAAAAAATGGCCTCATTCTCACCCAGTTCTCACTATTATTATTTTAACATGTTGTGTTATTGCACTTATACATGCAAGTATTTTTTTAGGTACTCAATATATTTGGACACTTAATATCCTTATCATACCATGTAGTAACTTTTATATTTAGGAGTATTTTAGATAATTAATCAATGGTAAAATAAAAATTTTGGTAGAAAGAGATGGCATTACTTACAAAATGTGATATTACCCACATGGAGCAATGATCGCTTCTTAACCATTAATAAAAAGAAAAAATTTATATAACGTTGTAACCTTAAAGTGTAGAACTACATATGCACCTCAAATATCTATCGAAAAAAGTTAGTTTTATCATCTCGACATTAAGTATGAATATATATAAAAAAAAGATTTTGAATCCTATGAATAATACATTTTGCAACACATTATCTAGACCGTCAATTTTCAAGATTTTCATATGTTTATAGATCTACTTGATTTTAATCATTTTTGGAGTTTAAAATTTTATAATTAGATATGAAAATAGATTTTGAGATAATCCTAATAAACTTTTATACCAAAATTACATGTTATATTAAAATTTGGAAGTGCCTCTTAATTGGATTGTTTAGAGTTGCAACCTAATAGAAACCACACCCTTAATAAAATGCTACTAATTTATTTATTATACCTATCCTACCTTTTTTTAATGACAAAAAAATGTCCTTACTAAAACAATTTGTATTACAAAATAAGGGGCAAATGGTATCAAGTATATGAACAATATTCACTTTCTATAGATTAGTTCGGCCAATCGTTCGGGTTTTTAAAGTTAGAAATGCATAGTAGGAAATCATGTTACTTGTTTCACTCCATTTTCATCTTTTTGGTAAAAGAAAGAAGAAAAAGAAAAAAAAAGAAAAAAAAAGTAAAAGTAAAAGTAAAAGTAAAAGTAAAGGTACGTTGGTTGGGTAATTGGGGAAAGCAGGTTATGGAGAATTTCTATAATTTATAATTTAGAAGGGCCATTTTTTGGAATTCAACATAAAAAAAAGAAGAAGTATATAAACAGGTTTTATCACCGTGAGTGGGGGAATGTGGGTGGCCATGGCGGGTCTATCCTCTTTTCTCTCAGTTTCAGTTTCAGGCGCAAAACAACGGCTAGTTTCTCTCTCTTCTCCTTCTCATTCTCTCTCTAGAGAAAACAATATCTTCATTAGAGCCAAACCCAAATACCCATTTACTGGCACTGTTTCTTTTCATATCAAATTCCTTTCAGGGAGCCTCTGTTCTTGTCCGATCTCCTCACTTCTCTTCCTTTCTAAGAATCTCTCTCCATTGAAGACCCACTATTTTAAAGTACCCGCTTCGCAGAAATGCCCTCAAAAAACCACAGGAAGAGACTCTTTGGTCGTCAGAGAAGCAGTCTGCGACGAGGAATTATGGGCTGCAGCTTGTCTTCGTGTTCGAACTTTTTATGAATGCAAGCAAACTTTTGGAATTGAGGTGAGTTGTGAAAATGATCTGGTTTTTTTAGTGTTCTGCTTCTTTTACTTGCTTTCTGAAACCAGTTTTCTTGTGGGTTTTACCCTCTGTGATCATGACAAAGCTCTGCTCTGGAATATAGCTGAATTTGATTCTTAAATTTAAAATATTTTATTTTACTTGATTTATTATCTTTTTGGGTACGTTTTTTTTTTTTTGACATATTACTGTATAATTTGGTGGATTTAAATGTTTAAGATTCAATTAATTGTATAAATGGCATTATCATTGATTAAGCACTGTACATAACTGAGTAATTTGATCAAATCATGTTGTTTTGGACAATTCAAGGTACATCATACCAGTGTTGATAATTTGGCTAGTGGCGAACTTCCAGTAATTGGTGGGTTCTGTTTACTTCAGCTGCTCTTATCATATTTCAAGACTTTAGTGTAATTTTAGTAATCTAGCTGAGTCCAACAACCTACCAGTAGAGGGTGATTCTTCCATATTTCATTTCATTATATGCACCTCACAAATATTTTTCATTTCATTATATGCAGCTCACTAATCTTTAGATGATGGGTTAAATTGGGAAAGGGGCTGAGGTTGTGGTGGTAGCACCCCCACACCCTAGTCACCATGTTGTGATTTGCATTCCCACTGATACCACCCCACTTACATCTTCAAAAAACTAACTCCTAAACTATTTGAAAACATGGGTAGGGGCCTGTCTTCCCCACTGAATTACCCAAAAAAAAAGAAAAAAAAGATGATAAGTTAAATTCAAACAAACTGTGAAAGAAGAGTTCTTTTTTTTTCATTTTCTTTTTCCTATTATTTTTCAGGGACTATGCATTTACAAGTATCTGAAGTTTAAAAGAATATTGGTGAAACAGAACAATCTTGCATCTATAAACGCTAGAATATCCTTTTGTGGTTTATAACTTTGAATCTGTAAGATGCAATTAGTTTTCAAATTGGGACTGTCATAGATGGCAGAATCGAATTTAAGCATTGTATGTAACTCGGGTTTGATCAAATCAGTGTTGATCTTTTATGTAGTGGAACACTTTCAATGACTATTGACATGCTTACAAGTGGCCAGCCGCAACACCATCCATTTGCTTACTCATGGCTTTGTTATCATTCCATTTTTTCAAGCTACATACCCAATTGGAGAGGGAGCAATTTAGGTTTCCATAGCTGACTAGATAAATAGCCACAACATGCAGGCCTGATGAGTAGGCTTTGTTTCATTATCATCATCATACAAGCCTTATCCCAATTATTTGGGATTGGCTACATGAATCCTGTTCCTCCATTCTTCTCTATCAAGCGCCATACCTTCAATAAGACAATGCCCTAGCTAACCCTTGCTTTTTTCTCACTGCACCCGTGTGGTGTAGTGCGTCTCTTAAGGGGAACGCACTAACATGAGTACGTTCTATTTATTTTTAGAATTATGGGTGTTCAAGTACCTGAGTTTGAAATCTAATGCTGGAGACAGTGAGCTATCTTGCTGCTGTAAGTGTTACAAATTCCTTCTTTGGTTTATCCCTACCCACCATATTTTGTATTATCTTTTCTATTTAGAAATTTTGAAGCTTTGTGTGAATGCATTGTTGTGAAGTAGATGCCATCTGCTGTAATTTCTATGCGAAAAGCATAATATAAGTGCAAAATATAGTCTCGGCAAGGACAGCCTTTTGCCCAGTAAGGACCTTGACATTTTGAAATATCTCTGTGGCTAATTCCTTGTTGAAGTTTGAACTGGGCAAGACCCACAGGCTTTCCTTTTTCCATGCAAAAACATTTTATTTCTGACTATCCATTTAATTTTGAAGTACTGATGGTGTTTATTTTTGTCAAATCTTTCGGGCTGCTGCTTCCTAATTGAATTTTGAACTGAGCGTGAACCACAATATTTCTTTATCTATCCATGAAATTGTCATCTCTCTTATTTCATTTTCCAGTTTCTTCTCAAAGTCTGATGGTGTTTATTTTTTGTCAAGTTCTGTTAGGATCATAAAAAGTACTTGGCGGAGAGGGAATTTGGGGCACTGAAAGAGCGGATAGCTGGGGAAAGGGTAGGATTCAATCGCGTTGCTTGCATTAATGCTACCCTTTCAGTATCACAATTTTCAAAGCCTGCAGATGACTTGTGCTCGTCATGCAAGGTAATCATATTAATCTTGGAAAATCTTATGTTAAGAAATTCTAGTGAAACACAAAATTTCATAGAGCCTGGTTTTCTATAGCTAATGATTAGCAAGGTTTATTTTGATGTTTACAAGAGAATTCGGTTTGATAATATACATCTTGGCTGGCTTGTTTATACCTTTACTTTACCAAAATTTCATTCATTTAAGTGATCTAGTCTTACTTGAATTGACATATGCATGATACAGTGCATGGTTGAAAGTGGTGGATACATAGAGAAAGTGGTAAGGAGTAAAGGATAAACATTTAATGATTACTTGAATGATGGACAGTTAAAACTGTTCGTGTGTGGTGCTTAACTACCTCTATCCTCTTGAGATGGAGTTATTTGAATAGGATGGTTGTTCATAATATCCAGAAAAAAAGCTGGAGTTAAACTGATGGAAAACACATAAAGAAGTTGGAAATGTTGCCCATGGAAGTGGTTGGAGAGGGAGAAACAATCTTATGGTTCCATCTATTTATGGATGTGATCTTTCCATTGTTTATTTTTCCAAAAGCTGTATTTTACTTTTGATTTTTTAATGCATTGTGACTCAGTGATGTCCCTTTTACTTGGAAAACAAAGTATTCTCTTGATCAAAGCCATTGTGCTTTTCTCTATATGGCAGACTCCAAATTATGATATTTAATGAAGCACATTGTTTTTAACTGTTGCATGCGATTTGCAAGATAACTTGGGAAGCATATATCTTGTTGAATTCTAGTTGTTTTGTGTATATTTCTGTTTCTATCTTCCATTGAAAGCAATATTATTAGTTCCCTCATTTCGGCCAAAATGGCCAAAGCCTTTGGCTTCAGGCCCTAATTCAAAACAAAGCAAATCACTCCCGGTTTGAATTAAAATATTGGTAAAATTTTAAAAATGCCCCTTAAGTATTCAAAATTGTGTAAAAGTACACTAAAATATTAAAAGCCTCACAAAATAGCTCTGGGATATTTAAAATTTTGGATAGTATACCTCATATATCAGTATTTATAAAAACAGTGCACCCAGCGCCTAGGTACCCTTGGGTGCACGCCTAGGCCTGGATGTCCCTTCCTGGGCTCCAGTTCTTGGGCGCCGGCCCATGACCATGGGCCCCTTTCCGTCTTTAAAGTAGTCCTTAAGGGCATTTTATGTAATTTGAACCACCCCCGAATTTGTTTTAAACGAGTATTGGGGGTATTTTGAACCCCTTAAAAAAAATAAAATAAACATCTATAAGATGGAGATGCAAGTGATGATGTTGATTCTGATTCTGACTGATGATGATGGGAGAAATGAAGATGTCCTCTCTCTTCTTTTGTATTTCATATTTATTGCACTATCTTGGTTTGGATTTTGGAATTTTTGCCTTTTTGGACTATTAGGTTTATATTTTTGTAGGTTTGTTGAAGACTTGGAGTCCATGTGATTATGGAATATGGACAGTTGGAGATTAATACAGTATACACTACGGACTTTTTTAAGTTTTTCACTAAATGTTTTGTCATTTGAAGTTTTGAATATGTCTATTCTTAACAGGCGATATGTTTCTATGAAAAAAGTTAGTTACAATTACCCAAAAAAAAAAGTTAGTTACAATACATATAAATACTAAAAATTTAAAAAGTATCACAAATATATGCATATATGTGCGTTTGGACAGCACATATATGCATATATCTCAAGAATTTCACTACTGGGAGCTGGAGGTTCTGGGTGCCCAGTTTTGCACCCCTCCTAGGCGCTGGATGATGGGTGCTAGCCAGCTGCTTAGTGTTGTCTGAAACCTTGTCATATATATAAAATTTTAAAAGTGGCTTAATTCTATGTATTTTATTGAATTTTGTTCTTAAAAGTGCAACCGAAGACCTCTATAAATCTGCCGAAGAGCCAAAGCACTTCCCTCTTCTGGCTAAAGTGAGGAGTCCCTTGAGGCAAATCTGATGACATTGATTACAGTATATTTTTTGCAGAAAGCATGAAATGCCCATTAAAGGGTTTTTTGTTCTAACCAGTGAAAAAAGAGCTTGTTTGTTCTCAAGTTACTGATTTTATGGCTAAAGTGGTGCAATAACTGCCTTGAAGAAATAGTTAAATACGAGTCTGAATGCCATTGAAATCTCATTGAATTTCTTATATTTTATCAAGTTCTTATTTTATAAAGGAAAAAGTATAAGATGTCAATCTTATATTGTAGAAGTAAGGTGCACCTAAAAAATTGCTATGATGTTGAAAATCCTATAATTGATCATCTTGCCCTTCGAGATGAATGATGTGAAAAAAAAAGAAAAAGATTAGACGTCTTAAAAATGGTGCATCTTGTTACACATTGTCTAGACCGTGCATTTGCAAAAAGTTTTAAGTTTTTATAGATCTGCTCATTCTACACTACTTTTGGAGCTTCAAAATTTCATAATTAGGATGGAAAAGATTTCTATGCCATCATAAGGGTTTCTGGCATTGGAACTGCACCTTTTCTTTGATTGTTTAAGGTTGAAACCTTATATAGATCACACCCTTTTGTAAATTAAAATGATACTTGCTTTCTGAGGTGATATTGATATGCATTGATTGTGAAACTGTCTTAGTGGAAGTTATACCTTCCAACTTTGGTTTTAACTTCGTTCGGTGATTTTTCTTGTGGTATCTTTGGTAGTTTTCGACAAATGGAGAGGATCGAGTTGTGATTGGGACCTTGGATCTGAACCAAGCTATGAGGCTTGCTGATGAAATAACAGGGAAGAGGCCAGAGGTATCCTTGTGAACTTTCTTGCATGTTTCCTGGACCAATTTCGTTATCTTGGATGTCATGTCTTATGTCTTCATGTAGAAATGCCATCTAGGAGAATAATTAGATCCATAGAAATATTCTGATTGTCTTCTCATAATGATGCAATTTGTATCTTTTTCATGTTTCTTAAATTGATTTATAATGGCTTATTTATTTGCTTTATGTATACCATTTCTTAAGGTGCATATAAAATTTATATTGATATACCCTACTCTATTCAGTTTAAGAGGAGACTGTCTTGTAATGGTAATGAGAATACTTTTTTCTTGATCTAGAAAAAAAAACTTTGGTATCTCTGAGCTACTGGGATAATATCAGATTGTCTGTTACTATGATGTTCAAATGTTTGACAAATATTTAAGGAAAAAGATGGTGGTAAAATCGGCATGAGCAAAATCTTTGATCATGGGTGATCTTTCCTTTCTGGTATGTTTTTTTTAAGTCCTTGTGAGGGGCTAGTTTTCCAGTGAAAATCTGTTTCATACCATCTTTTTGAGCAAGCAACTCTGATTTAGAAGTTATGAGAACCATATTTGAAAATTTTAGAGGTTCTTTGACTCTAACAGGGCATTGGAGCTGACTTCGCAAGGGCCTACCTTAGCAATGTATGTGTAGCTACAGAGTTACATAGAAAAGGAGTGGGCTATGGACTTGTTGCCAAGTCCAAAAAGGTTGCTTTGGAATGGGGTATTTTCCTCTGCATTTTTTCTGTTACTCCTTTTTATTTTTTTGAGACTCTTTTTTGACCTTTGTTTCGTGGCTTTGAGTTTACTTCACTATGGAAATTCCCTTTATATCTATTATTTATACATTTGAAGCCTTCTTCTTTTGTTCTTTGGTGTGTGTGTGTGTGTGTGTGAGAGAGAGAGAGAGAGTTTTAAATGGATGGAAGTTCAGTCATGGTTTGTCTTTTCATAATTCCAGGCATAACTGATCTTTATGCTCATGTTGCTGTGGACAATGATGCGGCCAAGAGACTCTATCACAAAAGTGGTTTCATATATGAGAATGATGAACCTGCGTGGCAGGCTAGATTCCTAGGTAGGCCAAGACGCCTTCTTTTATGGGCTGACCTGACTAAAACTAACCTTTGAATGTATAAAGAGTTGGTAAATGTATATCTTTTTTGGTTGTTTTCTAACCGTAATATTGCCTTTATATTAGTAATTGAAATTGTGTTTTTGCACTCAATGGATTCTCTTGTGATATTGGGCCCTTCTGCATGTTCAGTGAGGACAATTCTCTAGTTTTTTTTAATGTAAAATATTAATAAAAGGGCAACTCTAGCATGCCCTCAATTTACAATTGCTTAAGCATGCATCTGCAGAATTAATGGACATGGTTGAATTCTATGTCGGAAGTTCATTGAACAAAATGAAAAGTTGGGTATTGAACAAAAAAAATGAGAAGTTGTAAACCATTACAATCAAATTATTTTGAGTTGCTTAATTATTCTGGAACCAAATCATTGTTGGTTATTTATCATCCAGAAGAAGGAAATGTAGAAGTAGTGTTGGATTTGAGACCATAAACTTAGATTTGAGCCTATCCTTCTCGGATTTAGTTCATTCATTTTGTGAGTAAGAATCTTAAACAATCCACCTCAGAACTGAAGTTCATATCCACTGTAGCTAGTGGAGAGAAGCAGCATGTAGTTTATAGTCATTGACCATATCTTATAGGATACAGATTCATTCATCTCTAGCTTTATAATGCCTTCAGTGGTTTCCAATACTATGAGATATGGCCTGTCATCTTCTTCTGCAGAATCCTCTTGTAGTGAACTATGCATATTGCTTATGAAACCTGTGAATTTATCAATGATGCCTGGTCATTTATATTATTTCTATCATCATCCGAATCTTATCCCAACTATTTGAGGTTGGCTTAAGTTATTACTATATAAAAAGATAATAGCTGTACTATTTATGAGCAAGACAGTGACTGGTGACTCCTACATTAAAGAAACTTACTCTCTGTAGCGTGCATGAGTGATTTGAGCATGTTGTTCTTCCTGATTTTCAAAACAAGCTGCAATAAAACATTCAAGAAGGGTTTGAACTAATTACTTTGTGAACCTAGAAATATCAGACTATGTGAACATTTGTGGAGGGTGAACTTTGTGGTTAAGCTTTGGGACCTGACCTTGGCTTGGTTGTTGAGGACAATTGATATGAATCTTGGCTTGCATTTTCCTAACCAACACAAAACCCAAAAGAAAACAGAGTATTTGAGTAACTTTTTCTCTTAAAAGTACTACACTTGAATTTTGAACAAGAGAGCTTTGAAATTTTAGAAATTTTGAAATTTTATGTTCGTACTTAATCCACCAAGTGAGACCAACACCTACCATTTGTGTTGTGAACAATAAGCTGCTCGCCCTGAGCCAAAATGGCCCTTCTTTTCTCGAACCCAATATCTTCCCTTCCCACTTCGAGATATGGAATGACAGAGAATCCATGGTTCCCCCTTACTTTGTGGGCTGGCCTTGCTTTCAGAGCTGCAACCCCTCTCAGTGCTGAGACATCCACAAAAACACGCATACGCATCATCATCATCATCATTGTCATTTTCATATCATGGTAGTTATAAGCATGTTAGGGGTTTTCATTGCTTCCATTTTCTAAATTCACTTTTGTAGTGTCAGACTAGGTTCTAGTAACTTACTGAAAGAATTTCTTAACTCGTATAAAATATTCTATTTATGTGCATGTGTTTGTGGGAACTAATAGTGAGGTCGCTCTCAGTGTGTTTTTAAACTTTTTGGACATCTCAACTTTGCCCAAATGACTAATATTGTACATGCCATTGCATGATTCAATCAAAATCTTCCCATATGTCCTTGTGGCTTGCTTCACAGTCATTGTATGCATAACAAAACTACAATAATTTCTTCTATTAAAAGACATATTTGGTAAGCACTTTTGGTCATTTTGTGAAGTAATTAACATGACCATTTCTAACTTATACCAATATAAGGTTACTTGCGAAGGCTTTGCATTCAGCACCTTGGATCCCTCTCTCTCTCTC